AAAAAAAAAACAAAAACAAAAACAACAACAAAAATATTTAAATAGCTTTTTTTCTACAAGATACCGATTCTAGAAGGCACATCTTTGCCTCACGACTGAATACAGTTTGCTGGGGAAGGCGGTGGTTGCGTTCGCCGCAAAAGATTAAAATTGAAGAGGCTTTTGCCAAGATTTCTTGGGCAAATAAAAGAAACTCTGATCTCACGACTACATCGCTTTATTTGTTGCGATACATGAAGTATACAACAAAGAAAGCATTTGTTTTCACTACATAAATCCTCCCAAATAGTTAGTTGACAATCTCAAAATGGTCTACAAACGTTCAGATGGAAGGAGGTGGGAGTGCAACGGGTAAAGACAGAAAACACCAGTGCTGATTAACATTTAAACAGTGCCATCATCATTGCCATAGTTCGACAACAGTTGTGTTGTCGTTAGCTGTAGTAGCGTCGATTAATTCGGATAGAGATGGACGTCTTCGTTCATCATCTATCACCGCACTGGTGACGGATACATATCACTGAGCAACAAAATTCTTCCATCTAAATGCTGTTAAATTTTTGATGACAAACTTCTTTTTTATAATTTACAGTAAATTTCATAAATCTATTGATTGTTTGTTGAAATTATGCTTTAGAAATTAGTTTTTTAACTAAATCAATTTAAAACCATAATCTTTTATGAACTGTCAGTTTTATTAAATACTGATAATTTTCTGTAGTATTTGTGTATCAGTATTTCTTAGTCTACTGCAGTTACAGTTTATAGGTCAGTCTTATGGACTGCTGTAACTGGCATTTTATTTATTCGTTCCGTATTATTGTTATTATTTGCTTTTTTTTCTTAATAAATTTTTTTATGGCACTTATCTGCTTTATCGAAATAAGTAAGCTAATGATCTGATTCTTTTCTCCATTTAGCTGAACTGTATTTATTGGCATCTGAGTAAGCATTAAACATTTTTAATTTAGAGCAGTTTATCAGCAGCAATGTTATTATTATCGACAACGGTACTGTTATGCATCCTACTATCAGCAGTTGCGCAGCAGATGGAAAATGCAAGAAATTGTGTGGATTTATCACATGATTGTCCGAAACGACGTTCATTATGTCATAATGATCTATTCGAAGATTTGATGCGTGAACAATGTCGAAAGTTTGTCATAGAATTTGGCTTTCTTATTTCCCACACCTTTGTTGTTCTTCAATTTTTTTTTCGCTTATTAGCCTTAGTTGTTTTGTTCTTTTTTCTTTTGGTTTACTTTTTAACTCATAAATTTTTTCGCCAAAATATTTTTATTGGTTTCATTTAAACTGCAAAAAATTAGACTAAATACTAAATTAACTGTAAAGAGTATAAGTTTGAAAAAAAAATTTAAATCAATTGGTTATGTAATATTTTAATATACCATCAAAATTTAATGATATACAAATCTCGAGAAAACAGTTGGTCAGCAG